TTAGAGGCCCCTCTCATGCATTTTCTTGGAGAACTGCCCTGGGAGCAGAGTTATAGAGAGAAATCACGACCCAGGGCTCTACGTTGGGGCTCAGAGTCTCCAAGTCCCAAGCTTCCCAGGAGGACCCATCTCAGGCGCGACCTGCTCCACAGGGCAAGGGCGTGGAGGACCAGCCTTCCTTTCTCAGCTCCCCTGCACCCGCATTTCACGGAGCCTGGTGGTGATGAAGAAGCAGAGATGGGCTCAGCGCTCTCCATCAGCTGCATCTTGGTTATCAGACGTGAGGCAGCTGTGGGAAGACACATGACAGTTGAATGGGAGCCTCTCTGATGCCGCTGTTTCCCACACACTCACCTGAACTGTCTGGTGGGGGAGCAGTGGTGGGGTGGAGGGTGGGACCTTGCTTTATGCAGCTATGGGCCAACCAGACAAGGAACAGGGTTTAATGGAAATTTGCCGAGCTAGGTAGCCACTCAAGTTTGGCTCCCTGGATTCCTGGTCCACTGGACACCTTCTCCCACCCCCTAGACCCACTCTTAGCTTCTCCATCCTTTGTGCCTGAAAGCTGACCTGTACTAGTAGCATCAATGGGTTTTCTTGCCGGCTGACTCCCAGTCGTATTTGGCTAATGGAAGGCACCTACAGGAGATGGGGGTAGACAGGTGAAATTGAGAGGACAGTGTATTTATTCTCCAGCTCTTCCCTCCTGGTTCCCCGTGTCCCTCTACCTAAGTTCCTGTTGGGTGGCGTTTTCCTTCATCTGCCACTCTCTCAGGTGCAGGTAAAACTCCCACCCCTTTGCCCCTTTCCCTTTGCTCCTTAAAAAACTAGCAGCTCCCACTGGTCCCTGCCCCAGGTGCCACCACACATGCCTTGCTGGGATCCCTCAGCTCTGTTCACACCTTTGTAAATAAACCCGGTGTTGAACCCTCCTCATTTACCCTCTTTGCATGGACTATCTGTTTCCTGCTGGATCCCACCTGATCCAACCTCTTCCCCTGCACACCCAAATGTTGCTCCAATCAAATAGAAGCTCTCACCATGCCATGGAGGTGGCACTGGCGTTTCCTGTGTGTGCAGGTGGGGGCTGAGATGGAATTCCTCCTTGACAAGAGGAGAAGCATGCAGCTGTGGTTATCGCTGCATACAAATCACACCGAAATGCCGCATCTTAAGACACCAGCTATTTCATTACATCACGTGATTGTGTGGGTCTGGAATTCAAAGAGAGCCAGGCTGGGTGATTCTGATGCTTTGAATGGCATCACCAGGGGTCACTGGGTCATGTTCAGTGTGGCGGCTGGTCTGGTCTGCAGGGGTCAAGGCAGCTTCACTCATGTGCAGGCAAGGCTGGGCTTTTGGGTCCCTCTCATTCTCCACGTGGTCTGTCCAGCACCATGGACAGAGACAGGGAGTGGACGTCTCCAGCCTCCTAAGGCTTGGGCATGGAAACTGGTATGCTTTGGCACTTTTGCGTATCCCGATGGCCAAAGCCGTCACAGAACGTGCCCCGTCCAGAAGGAGAGAGCATAAACCCCTGTCTCTCAGTGTGGGAGTGTCAAAGAATGGTGGAGCCATCTTTCATCCTCTACACAACAATTATCCTTCCAACAACTGTCATCACCTTCTTCGTTTGCTTAATGTTGGGCCCACAAGACCGTTGTCTGAGGCCAAATTCACCCTGAAGATTGTATTAATCTGATATACACTGAGGGTTTTATTTTTAATTAAATGACTTCGGACCCACATGGCTTATCCATCTCAACACTGGTCCCACCACTTCTCACTACCTGCCAGAGGCTCACACTCAGGCTTCTGCCTGGTTTCTGGGGCCTGTAACTGTGGTCCTAAATTAGCAAGCACAGGGGACAAGTTTAGTCTGATGAACTCATGCACTGGGACACAGATACACACAGATAACCCAGGCTTTTATATAACACAGCTCTCCCAGCCTTATTTCTAGGAGGGAATGCTGATTCAACAAACACTGAGACCTTATCTGTTAAGATTCCCAAGATGAAGCCAGCATGGTGTCGGGAAAGAGCCCTGCACTGGGAGAACAGGAGCCTGTGTTCTTGTCACTGCACTGCCTATGTGACCTTGAGCAGATCACCAGCCTCCCTGGGTTGCTGCTTCTGCATCATTCAGGACAAGGAAAGAGCATGGTTTGGAATCACCCTTAGTTTGAAGCCCAGCTCTGCCACTTGTCTTGGACAGGTCACTTCAACAGTCTGGCCTCAGTTGCCTCCTCTGAAAACCGGGGCCGCAATGAGCATGCTACCAAGCTATTGTGAGGACAAAACACGGTGACATGCAGATCACTTGTTTCCTAGCAGGCACTCCTGACTTTCTGTGCCTCCTTGGAGCCTTCAGAGCCCAAGACCCCAGTCTGAGCTGGGATCACTCACCTCCATGTCTAGCACAGGTAGGTGCTAGACACATAGTAGGTGCTCAGCAAACACTTGTTGAAATGAACTGGCTGTTTGGCAAACAAAGCAGTAGCAAGAGCAATAAAAACATTCATCCATTAAAAAACCATGTATAAAAATGTTCTTAGCAGCTATACACATAGTAGAGCCCAACCAGAAACTATCCAGGTGTCTATTTAACAAGAGAACAGCTGAACAAACTGGTCTCGTCTTCCAATAGAATACTGCTCAGCGATAAAAAGGAATGAGCTACGGGCACACACAACAGCAAGGGTGGATCCCAAAAAAGTTATGCTGGGAGAGAAGAGCCTTCACTGAAAACTACCAGCTGTATGATTCCACTTATATGAAATTCTAAAACAGGCCAAAAATGGTGTGAGAAAAATCAGAATAGTAGTTGCCTTTGGGGGCAAGGATTGACTGGGCAGGGCAGAGGATCTTTCTGGAGTGATGGTGATGTCCTATATCATGAGAGAGGCTTGGGTTACACAGGTAGATGCATGTGCCAGAGCTCATTGGGTAGTGCACTTATGATTTGTGCATTTCATTTTATGTAAATTTTACCAAAAGAGAATTAGAAATAAGTGTAACTCTGATTAACGATATGCATGCTGAAGCGTGTAGGAGTAAAGTGTACTTGCGTCTGCAACTTACTTCGAAATGCACCAAATAAATACAAGTGGATGGATGGATGGATAGAGGGAGAGAACTATATGGTAAAGCAAACATGGCCAAGCTTGTTGCAGAAGGGGGGTAGTAGGAATATGGATGTTTGCTTTAACATTCTTTGCACTTTTCTCTATGTTTGAAAATGTTCATAGTTAAATGTTGGGGGAATAAAATACGATGCTGTTAAGACCAAGCTGGGGTAGTGGGGGGCGACAAGTGCAAGGTCACACAGTCTTTGACAAACATTAAGGCTGGTTTTCAGCAAAGTAGAAGTCAGTTGTGAAGACGCAGTAGAAAAAGGATTGTATTGCCCGAGCTGAATCTGGACCGTGGGCACGTAGGCAAATGCAATCACTCTGACTCTGTGTCCCCATCTGCAAAATGCAGACAGCACTGCCCACAGGGGCGTTGCTGGGACTAAATGAGAAGCCAGAAGCATTGAACAAACATGACTTCATAAGGAGCTGGCAGGAAGCAATTTGATTCTTTCCAAGCAGGCTGACCCCACCTCCTCACTGGGATTTCAGCTTAAATATGAAATTTAAGCTCCAGAAACGGGCTTCCACTGGCGGCCTAATCTGCTGTGGTCCCCACCTCCTCCATCCATCACTCTGTTTTCATTGTCTGTAGGACACTTGTCCTGATCTGATGTGTTTCTTCCATATTCCTTAATTTGGTTTATTATCTGTCTCCTCCCACTAGAATGAGGTCTCCAGGAGAAGAGGGTCTTTGGCCTGTTCATGACTTTATCCCCTGCACCTAAAACAGTCTCTGGCACATAGTAGAGACACAGTGAATCCTTGTTGAAGGAAGAAATAAATGAGCAGGGATAAGCTTAGTGTCACCCCTCAGATCGCAGAATTATGCTACTCGGAGTTTGCCTGTTGCTAACACCTCCTGCACGAAATAGCAGGAAGTGAATTTAGAGATAGCCGTCTCCGCCCCATTTAACAGATAAGAAAACTGAGGCTCAGAGAGAGAATGCAAGTTTCCCAGCATCCGTTGCCACTTAGTGGCTGAGCCAAGAGGGGGCCCAGGCTCTTACTCTTTCTCTCCAGCAGGCTGCTGGGGCTGCCCGGGGCAGCTGCAGACGGACAGACAGTCAGGCTCCACTGGGCCGGCTGCCCGCATGCCGTGTGTTAATTACAGGGGGCAGGATGTGCCAGCCTAGCAGTGTTCGCTGGCGCGCCCCGCCCCCTGGGTAGCAGGTGGGCAGCCTGGCGCAGGCGGCTGACGGGTCATGTCCACTGGTCTGCCAGTGCCCAATCACGCTGACAGAAGGCTGGTCATCTGCAGCGCCTGCCGAGTGTGGAGGGCCTGCAGGTTGGCACAGCGAGGTCCCTCCACACTACGGGCAGCCCCTCCTGACTGTGTCGGTCAGCCAGACTGGCAGAAGTTGGGCATCTGTCCCCACGATGAGCCCTTGCTGGACGCAACCTGTCCACACAGGTGTGCTCGCTGACAGGCAGCCCAGGGGGTGGCATGGGGACCGAGCGCTGAGCATGGCACTGCGGGATGCTGTTTGGGATGTCACAGGCAGGGGATCGCACACAGACACACAGACGCTGGGATCAGACAAGACTCAGCCACGCCCCCACCCACACCCACACCTGCCCAGCCAGCTTGGGGGATCCAAAAATCAAGTCACAGCCCTGAAAAGGGGGCTGGAAAAGTGATCTCTTCTCTCTGTTCCAAAGGCCTCTTCCCAAGCCAGACCTGCTTGCCCCTAGCTGTGTTGTCCACACTGCAGATAAAGGGATCTTTTTGACCCTGGTGGGAGCTGTCACTCCCCTGCTTGAAGCCTTCAGTGGCTCCCCATCTCCCTCTGACAAAATAATATCAATAATAATATCTACTGCGTCATTCTACCGTGCTAAGCATTTTAGAACTAATAAAATAGCACACAATTATAGAACCTTTACTGTATTCCAGGCTTCTTTCTAAGCAATTTACGTGGAAGAACAAAAATCATCCTGTAGCCTATCACCTGTGAGGTGGTACTACTGCTATCCCCGTTTTATAGATGAGAAAACTGAGGCAGGGAGACGTGAAGTGACTTGCCCAAGATCTTGAATTAGATTTGAACCTAGCATTCTGACTATCACTACCAAACCCAGACACTTCACATGGGGTCCAGCTCCCACGGCCACACTCCGCATCCCAGCATCCCACAGAGCATCCCACAAAATCCATCTTGAAACTCCCCATCACTTTTCACCCATGCCTGGCCTTTTCTCTTACTTTTGTCTGGCATCCTCTGTGTCTGGAGTGCCCTCCTGCGTCCTCTTGTCTGCCCTGCAAACTCCTCTCCCTCCTCCAAGGCACAGCTCAGAGTACCCTCTTCTGCGGGTACTGCCTGAGCTCTCCCTGGCAGAGCTCTCTATTTGTCTGCCCTGTGCCACTTCCGTTCCACGCCGAGCAGCCCACGGCAGGCAAGCATGTGCTGCTGATGTTTCTTTCTGTGATTCCCCTACCCTGCCCTTTCTAGGAGTTCCTTGATGGCCAGGACCTTGTCTGATGTACCCTCTGTCCACAGGCCTGGCTGCCAGGAGGTGCTGAACCAATGAACAAACAAGTGAATGAATGAATGAATGAGAAGTGTAGTCACTTGGGTTCGAGGAATGAAGGCTGAGGGCAGGTATGTCAGGGAGACATAAGGTGGTTGAAAAAGTTCCTCCTTCCTCCTCCATCCCTGCCCCACTGCTTCCAGAACATGGCAGGGGAGAGCTTTGGCCATACTGGGAAGACCCCTGTCTTTGGGGTGACTACATGACCATGGGGCCCATCTCTAATGCTGGGGATCATTACCCGGAGGCATGGAATAGACAGCAGGGATTGGGGTGCCCTGACCCAAAGGCAGAGGACGGACAAGAACAACCCCGGTGCCGCATCTGTACAGCACTTGATGGTGAACCTTGGTTTCTGGGGTCCCAAGCATCAGTGGGATGTGGTGCAAAGAGGAGGTGCTTTGGAGCCAAGGACCTGGCTCCCAGCCCTGTCACCTCCTTAATGTGTGGCCCTGGGACTGTCTCTCCCCTCACGGAAGGCCTTGGTTTGGCCTTCTATAACGTGCAGGTTCTAGATGGGACGGTCAAGGGTCCCTCCTGCGCTGAGTGGCCGGGTCTCTCAGGCGCCAAGGGTATGGCACCTGGGAAAGCTGCGCAGAGGCCTTGGTTGGGGGGGAGTCCACGGGAGTTAGGGCAGTGTCTCCCCATTTTGGTCCCCAACCCCTGCATTCAACTGACTCCATGCAGCTTGTTAAAAATCCCCAATCCAGACTCCACCCAAGACTCACTGCATTTGAACCTCTGGCATGGGCTTCCAGGGAAATTGACATTTTCAAACCCTACTCCCACCTGGCTAGGTGATTCTGCTGTGCACAGAAGTCTGAGTGTCTAGCATCTATCCAGGTCCTTCCAGTCTCCCCTGCTTCTTGCCTGCCAGCCCCTGCAGTGTGGGTTTTGGGGAGTACACAGGAGATGGCGAGGGAGGTCTCAGAGCATCTTGTGTCTGGTGGAGTCTGGGGGCTCCGGTGGTTGGGTCCTGACTGTGGTTTTGCATTTGACTGGTGGGAGCCTGTCCCGGGGGTGGACAGTGGCAGGAGGACAGCATTGGCATGATGGTGTCTCCCAGCCTGGCATTTCTCAGACACATGCCCCCCACACACACCCACCCCAGCTGATGCCCCCTATCCCCTGGCCCAGAGCAGGGAACAGGGTGTGTAAACTGGGCTTACTCCGTGGGTACAGGCATCATTCACACACACACACACGTGCACACACACCATGAATCCACAACTGACACACAACCTTGATTGTGCACACACACACACGTGCACACACACAATCTTTCTTGTACACACACAAACCCTCATGTTCTTCCCCAAACATCTAGAACTACACTAAATATTCTCACCATTACTTTGCTCTACACACACACACATATGCATCCTTATATGTAGCCTAGAGGCATGTAGATTTGTCCACTTGCCCCTGCTGACAGATGTCCATCCCCAAACCCCCTGAACACAGGCTTTAGCACTCATGCTCATCCACATGAGCTGGCCGCCGGCAGCCCCTGGGACCCCCTTGTGTTCACTCCCGTTGCACGTGCACCTCCTCATACTTGCATAGGCTCTGCCCATGTGTGTGCCCACAAAACCAGCCACCACGCCTCTGCCTGCCATTCTTACCAGCCCCCGGGCCCCCGGCCGCCCCACACCTCATCCCTGAGCTGCTGTCCGCCTTTGCACGGTAACCAGATGAGACAAGCAATTTATGACACCAGCTGTCTCTGTTAAAAACCGGATCTCACACACACACACACACACACACACACACACACACACGAGGGGAAGCCAATTACCCCGAGCCCAGCCCTGCCAGAAGCCAGGACTCACAAGGGAGATGGAGTGGGGGTGGAATCTGGCCACCCAGAGTGGTGAGTGGCACCTGACTTGAGGATTCCCAGCCCTCCCTGCTATCCCTGGGAATCCGGCATCCTCCTCCCCCAGGGTCCAGGGGAGCCTGCCCTCTCCTCTCTGTGGCTGCTCCCCTGGCCCAGCTCCCAGGCCCAGGAGATGCAGAAGCAGACTCAGGGTGGAGAACAGGCGGGCAGGGAGTCTAGAGGAAGAGTGGTCCAGGGTCACCATGGCAACAAGGAAGGCAGGAACCCCGTGCCCCTCCTACTGCACAGTAGTAAGCCAGGGGGAAGCTGCATCGCTGTCCCCTCTTCCTCTCCATTTTTATTCTCCTTCCTCCTCTCTGAGCAGGTGCCCTGCACCCCGCCGTGGTTTCCCTCTGCCTAGAATACCTGCTCCCTTCCTGGCCTCAACCCAATACTTCATCAACTCTACTGCCTGGGCCACTTCCACTCTGGACCTCGGAATCAGACCCAGGTTCAAAATCTTCACTCCTCCACTGACAGACTGGGTAGCCTGAGTGAGTGGCAGCCCTTCAGCGGCTTCAGTTTTTGCATCTATAGAAGGCATGTTCATTTCTGTACAAATATTGACGGAGAGCCCCCTCTGTAGTCGGCTGTCCTGGGAGTGGTGGATACAACATTGAACACAGCAAAGTCGCGGCCCTCCTGGGCTTCAGGTTCTGCTGGAGGAGTTGGAAGACACCCATCTCAGACATTTAAGTGAGATGATTATGTTTCTTCACCGTCTCACCTGCTGTGTCCATGGCTGCCCTCCTGGAATCGAACACGCCTCGTGAAAGGAACTCAATCAATAAGCGAATGCTTGAATGCACAAATGGCTTGAGCCCTATGCTGGGGCTGACTCCATCTAAGCCTTTCTCTAATACTAGTTGATCTTTGCACTGGGCCTCGGAGGGAGCTTTCTCAGCGTAATTTCTGAGTGGTTGGATGGAGACACATCTAAGTAGACTTTAGAACATTCCTTCCTTCGCTGACTTGTTGATTCACTACACAAACGTACATTATAAGGACAGACTGTGTGCCAATCCCATGCTAGGCACTCGGGGTTGAGTGAGGTGGGGAAGAGACTTCTAGGTGACGATTGCATGGCAGAAGTTTTTAGATATGCTTATCACATTTTACAGGAAGCTTTCACCTATATTTGGGTTTTTAAAAAGTACTGCTAACCACTCTGGGGCATAGGTCCGATGAACACTTTACAGATGAGGAAACCGAGGCTCCAAGACTATCAGTGACTTGCTTGAGAACACAGAGCCAGGAAGCGACAGCCCCAAGGAGGAACTGAGCCTCTTCACACTTGGCCCAGCATTCTAGCCACCATTCGTCACTTTCAGCGCCCCTTTCCCTGCAGCTACAACTCTATAAGGCAGCCACGGCTCTTGCCCATTTTTCAAAATTAATTAATTAGTTAATTTATTTATTTTTGGCTGCATTGGGTCTTTGTTGCTGGGCCCGGGCTTTCTCTAGTTGTGGCGAGCGGGGGCTACTCTTCGTTGCGGTGTGCAGGCTTCTCATTGCGGTGGCTTCTGTTGTTGCGGAGCGTGGGCTCTAGGCGCACGGGCTCAGTAGTTGCGGCACACGGGCTCAGTAGTTGTGGCACACGGGCTTAGTTGCTCCGCGGCGTGTGGGATCTTCCCGGACCAGGGCTCCAACCCGTTTCCCCTGCATTGGCAGGCGGATTCCTAACCACTGCACCACCAGGGAAGCCCGCTCTTGCCCATTTTAATAGCCTGGGAGCTGCCTGGAACCTGCCAGTGCTGGGATTTGAACCTGGGCTGGCCTGACTCTGGAGCCCAGGCGCCATCACTCCTCCATGTCTAATCAGTTCATTAAAAACCCTCCTTGCAAACTCTCCCTCTCACTGCCCAGCCACAGAAACCTCAGCTGTTCCATTTCCAGGAGATCAAATTCCTTCGCGGCTGGAGAGGAGTTGGGATGATGTAGGCAGGCAATTTAAACAGCTCCAGCAAAATACACTCTCTGCCACTATTACACTTTCCAACCGCGGCGGGATTGGCCCACAAGTGGATATCAAGTTTATTACAGCTATTTCCAACCTGTAACTGGTTTTATGGAACACAAAGAGAAGGAGGTTTGGGGGTGGAGGAGCTGATTTTTACCCCCTTCTTTTTTTTCTCTTCCGGATGAAGGCACCCAGAGACATTGGGAGGAGGCTAGAGTTGGAGACTTATTTGTTTTTCAAATGGAAAACCCTGGTCGGCCCCCGCAGGCTCTCACGCTGCTGACAGGACTCAGTCCGTTTGCCACGCTTTGGTGGCTCCACTTGAAAATCAACCCAGCCTGGCTGAAGCCAGATTTGCTGGTCGGGGACAGCCGGCGCCCTGGGACACGGTCGGGCAGGCTTGGGACCCGTGGGCAGCTGTTAAGCCTTGGCTGGGCAAACCAAGCGTGAATAAGTGTGGCCTCTAGGGCCAGCTGTTCTAGAATCAGAACATTTGGGCATTCGGGGTAGAAATGGCCCTCAGAGGTCACTCTGCCCCACGTCTCTTCATTGAGCATTTAGGGCAACTGAGGCCTGGAGAAGGGAGACGTGCGGAGAGATTTAGAACCCAGGTCTCCATCCAGCGTAGCTGATCAGTCAGGGACTGGATACCGACCAGGGTTCTTGACCTCCCCAATAAATAGAAATTAACTAGAGGCCAGACAAGAAATTCAGGCAAGGTTTTCTTGGGGCCCCTGCTGAAGCAGGGGGTAGCGAGAACAAGTAAGAGGTTCCCTTGCTCGCTCGCCGAGCTGGGGGGCAAGCTGGTTCCTTAGATGGGGTGAGGGTAGGGGTGTGTCCTGATGGGTGGCTTAGGTGTTCTGCCCCAGTCCCTTTGTGGTGTTTTGTGTGCAGGGGGCATGTGCAGTACACTGCTTTTGCTACACACCCAGTTTTTGCTCCCGGCTCTTCAGAAGTGGTAGATAGGTGTTTTTTTTTGGTCTTTTTGTATCTTTTGGTCCAGAATTTACCCCAACTGTGCATGCATTCAGTTATTTTTAGTCCCATATAGTTTCTTTGTATTTGGTTGCTTGAGGAGAAACTTGTCTAGGTACAAGCACTGCAGAAAAGGGCCCCAGGTCCCAGCCTGTCTCAGAATGACCTCTGAGAAAAAATACCTCAGATCCATGCTGGTTCCTTCTGGGGCATCACTGCACGGATGGTCCCTCCACCTTCCCCACTGGGCCTGGTCCTGTTGGGAAGCCCCATGAAACTGGGGTGTGGGCACAGAAGGCTGTTCTGGGGGCAGGTCTGTGTTGTAGGAATGGCTTCTCTTTTTCCTTGTGGTGCCCCAGCGCCTGAAATGTGGTAAGGGTTCAACTCAGTCTAACAAATAGTTACTGAGTAAGAACCAGGTGCCCAACTCTGGGGGCAGAGCTTGAACAGGGCAGATAAAGACCCTGCCCTCATAGAGCTTATGTTCTAGAAGTAGCTCACATTCAAGCCCTGTTTATTGACTCACTAAAAATCTGTTGAATGAATGAATGAGTGAATGAACACACAAGCACATCTCCCTCTGGGGAAGGGAAGACCCACACATCTTTGGCTCTCCAACAGCACCTTGACTGCCCCCACTAGCTTTGTCATTCTCTGTCTGCCCTGATCTCCTGGTCCCAACCCACTATGGGCACCGGGAGACTGTCTTGGAGCCCCCGAGACTAGCCTGCCACCATGTCCTTGTTCTGAGCCTCCTCGAGCTCCCTCTTTGGGCTGATAGAATAATATAATAATTCAGCAAGTTCCTGGGCCTCTGCTTTCCCCACACACAACCCCCAGCCCTCCAGTTCTCAGTTGCCCACACTGGCTTCTGGCTCCTCCCACCCGCCTCCCTCCCCAGAAATGGACCCCCTTCTTTCATTTACTGATTTTTTGCATCCTCTGGCTTTTCAGCAAGAGATACTCTGCTCTCCAGCCCTGAAGAGTGAGAAGGGACCCAGAAAAAGAGGTGGTTCAGAGAAGTGTTAGTATTCACAAAAATAGCTGTCTCCACTGAGCATTGACCACACACTGGGTGATCTTTCCAAGCCTTGTCTCGTTTAATCCTCCCAAGAAGATAGGTTGAGTTGTCCCCATTTTACAGATGAGGAAACTGAGGCTTAGAAAGGTGAAATAGCTTGCTCAAAAGCACAAAGTAGTAACCAAAAATCAAGAATTCGACTGGGGTATGGGAAATCAGTATCGCTTCTTGCTCAAAAGCCTCCCATAGGCAGGGAGAAGCAGCCTGAGACTAGATACCCCCTGAAAAGGGCCCACCTCCTCCAGGAACACTCCTGTGATCACCCCCCCCAAAGGAATTCTTGGCTCCTCCATGAGCCTCAGATGACGCTTGGCAAATACCTGTTGCTACAGCCATGATTTCCCAGACTTTGGCCTCTCACTTAACTGTGAGTGGTGTTATCTCCCCCACCAGACTGTGAATAAGCTCGTGATGGGCTGCAACGGTGTCTGAAATTCATTTCTTTCTCTCCGATGGGGACTAGAGCTGTGCCTGTGTGTCTTAGGCCTGGCGACATGTTTCTAGAACTAAAGGGAAGGTGTCTTGCAGCATCTTCTCAGGCTTATACCATGCCCTCTGCCCACTGCCTGTGATTACCCCCACCCCCTCCCAGCCTCTGTCTTGAGGGGTTCAAACCTCCAAGAGCTACAGAATAACCTCCTTGCAAATAGCCACTTGCTCACTGGCCTGGGGCCTGAGAGTGAATTTGGAGTCTGTTGCTTTCCTTAACCTTCCCTGAGGCTGAGGGAGGTCTGAGAGCCAGCTGCAGGGAGCTGGGACCGTGGATGCCTTGACTGGAAGGAGATCAGTGCTTGTCTCCGGCTGCCCGAGGCCAGTTTAACCACAGCAGCCAGACGTGGGCCCCAGAGAAAAAGATGTAAATAAAACCAAAGTAAAACTAGGTGCGTCCTTGAAACTCCCCTGTCCCTGGGCCTGAAACAGCGATTTACGATTCAGATAATTCTTCGGTGCTTTATCTGGCGTGTGTGGGTGTGTGTTGAGTACGTGTGGGGTGTGGGTGTATTTTCCCACTAATAAAAACCTCAGTCCCGGAGAATAAATTTGAGGAGACAGTTTTACTGACAGATTTTTTTTTCCTCCTTTGTATAATAAAAAAAAAAAAATGGAGTGAAATTTGAAATTGGGACGATAAGGGCTGCCGCATTTTAGGAGGAGATAAAAAAAAGCAGTACCTGAAGGGAGGCGAGGCTGCAAGTCAAACAGGCAGGATGCCTTCCACTTTTACGACTTTAGGAGAAGATTACTCAGGGCTCCGCCGGGCTTCTGGCATCCTGCCTCCTGATGAGACAGCCGCTGAGTGTAGAGAGAGAGGCCGGAGAGGCGCTTAGCTCATCCTCAGCCCTTTCAGCCTAGTGGGTGGGATGTGAACCCTGGTCTGGGAGCCAGAGCTCTGCCAAGAGCCCGTTGTGGGACCTCGGATGAATCACTTTGCCTCTCCAAGCCTCAGTTTCTTCATCTGCAAAATGGGAGATTACTGTCTGTTCTGCTCTATACAAAGAGATGTGCTTCAAGCAGATTTCTCAACCTTGGCATTGTTGACATTTGGGGCCAGATAATTCTTTGGGGGCCTGTGCATCGTAGGATGGTTATAGCATCCCTGGCCTTTGCCTGGTAGATACGAGGAGCACGTCTTGCCCCTGAGTTGTGACAACCAAAACTGGCTCCCGACATTGTCAAATGTCCCCGTGAGGAGGAGGGGGCAAAATTGTCCCCCAGTTCAGGGGCCTGGTTTACAGGTACTTTGCTCTTCTTCCTCAGGCTTCCTCCATTCTCATCACCCCCTGTTTGGGAAACTGGTGAGAGGCAATGTGAGAGGACCAGAGGATGAGATGCCTTGCCTTCTGACTGCAGCCACGCACAGTCAGAAAAGCGCAAAGCCCTCAGAGAGGGAACAGGTGAAGTGTATGAGAGGCGGATGAGCCTGCTGGAGACACAGAGGTGTGAGCTCAGCGAGGAGACACCGTGTAGTGGGAAGTCCCACCACTGATCCCTCTCAGGGTCCTGGAGCTGGTGAATGTGTTACCATCGCTCTAACCCTCACCAGCCGGGGCTCCCTGGGGACCCCGGTACTAATAGAGGTCTCCTACTCTTATGGCACACAGCTGGCACTCAATAAATGCTGGCTGGATTGCACTGGATCTGTGTTCCCTAAACCAGCAGCACTACCACCTTGGCCAGACAGATGTGGTCCAAGTCAGCTGGGGTCCAGATGTGCCCAAAGGAGGCCAGCTGCCCCGGGCCAGTCCTGCCAAGAAGGTGGCAGACCCAGCTCCAGGGTCAGTCCGCCTTTGCTGGGCTGGGGAAGCACCTTTCGGCATCTGGAGCCCTCCCCCAAGCCCCTTGGAGAAACCCCACCCCCAGCCCCCTCTCCTGCGTCCAGCACACAGAGCCACAGGGAGTTAATTCCACTTCTTCAGGAAGTGGAGGCCTCCCTGTCGCAGGCTGTTAGCGAGGCTGCAACTCTATAACAGAGTTGCTGAGACAAGCGGAAAACTGCAGCTGAGTAAACAGATAAATAATTGAAACAGAGGCAACACATACCTTGCTGCTTTGTGGAGTAACACTTTCATTAGCGGGAGGCAGCACAGCAGCAGGGATGGGGATGCGGACAGGCGGCAGGCGGGATTAGGGCACACTTTGGTCCGGCTTTTAATCAGCTGTGAACAGCTGGGCACCTGTGCAGCCTTTGTCTTCCAGCGTGGGCTTTATTACCACCTCCTGAGAGGCCCTGCCTTCTCGGGGCCTCCTTCGTATTCCTATGTGAAACGGGGACTTCCTGACACCCCTCCTGGCCTGTCCCAAGGGCAGCCAGAGGCAGGCAAGTCCCCCACACTGTCCTCTTCTCTCCATCGCTGGTGTCAGTAGACTGGGTTCTCCCTAGCCACCCCAGGTTCCCCTGTCTCCAGACAAGTCCCTTCAATCTCTTCTAAGGCCAGAGGGAGCTTGTAAATAGAATCTGAAACTCTGTACCTCCTTGGCCTTCGGGGGAGTTAAGTTCCTTTGCCCATCAGGCGCTCCCTGATGTGGCTCCCATTTCACTCCTTGGAGTCTACTCTCTTCACTTCCTCTCTGCCCCAGGCACTCTGAACACAGTCTCGTTTCACTGAGCACAGATACTTCTTTCCCACCCCAGGGCCTTTGCTCCTGCTGTCCCTTCTGCCTAGAAAGCACTCCCTCCATTTACTAGGCTGGTTCCTACTCTTCCTTCAGAAGACAACTTATGCACTGCTTCCTGCAGGAAGCCCTCCATGATTACCCTATCCCCAGGATGGGACCTCCCCCTCCTCTGGGCTCTCTAGCTATTCTGGTCTTCTCCCTTGAAGAATTTATTGGAAACCATTGCAGTTTAGCTTGTTTGAATCCGTATGAGATCTTGGTACAGGTGCCTGCCCTTGGCCCCATTTCTTCTCTCTTTCTATCCAGCCTGCTCCCCCATTCCCTCTCTCCTTGGGTGGGGATGGCTTTGGCACTCTGGCTGACTCTGCAAAACACAGTCACACTCTCTGGCCCTGTCTGCGGCTCCCCAAGGTTTGCTTGTCATTTTTGCAAGGCCAACAAGTGGGATGCAGAAGTGGGACCACCTGGTGTATCGGAAAGGGCCAGAAGAAGAGGCAGCCCTACTCCTCCTTAGCTGTAGGACCTCAGGAAGGCACTTGACTTCAGAGCCTCAGCCTGCACATCAGTGATGTGGGGATGACCTGGGAGGATAATAGTGATGGTTGTGACATCTCCCCCGAGAGGCTTCTCCTGGGGCTGCCTGCATCTCCCCAGCATCCCAGGAGCCCACTCACCACCTGGAGGAAAGGGGTGGCAGGGCTGGCCGAGCACTCACCTGTGACTCCTCTGTGCTCTGTTGCAGGTGACGGATGGCGGCACCATCAAGCAGAAGATCTTTACTTTCGACGCCATGTTCTCCACCAACTTCTCCCACATGGAGAACTACCGCAAGCGAGAGGACCTGGTGTACCAGTCCACCGTGAGGTGAGGGCTGGGCGGTGTCCGGGGGGCCACTTCTCCAGCCCTTTCATGTCTATCCCACATGCAATGCTCTTGTAGTGGGGAGGGGGGGGGGGTCTCAGGATCACCCTCCATGGGCTTGGAAGGCAGAGCTGGGGCTGTGCTGCAGAAGGGGGACCCATTCCCAAGGGGAATCATCCCCTGGAGGGAAGAAGCAGGAAGGGGTCAAGTTGCAGCTCTGCCACATGGAGCAGACCCTTTATGTTAGCCTCTCCAGACAGCTCCTCCAACAGTCCCGCAAAGTGGGTTTTCCAAACCCCTTTCCAGGTGAGGTCACTGAGGTCCAGAGAGGGTGAGCAATATGCCGAAAGTCACACAGCCAGAAATGCCAGGGGTGGGATGTAAACCAGCTCTACCCGGTTCAGAAGCCTGTGGAATACATCCTATTGTTCCCCACGGGCTCTAAACCTGGGAAGGAAAACAGACCCTAAACAACCGGACCCTAGGTTCAAAGCAGCAACAGGATGGGGAAGGAAGAGCCCTTGGGGATGGAGATACTTAATATTTCTACCCCTACCCCTTTCCTAGAAGACTTTAAGGTAGCGGATCCCATTCTAGGCCCTGCTGCGTCCTAGGCGTGTGGGCACCCACGGCCCCACTCCCCTCCCACCTACTGCCTAAAAGACCCCAATCCTATTTTATTGCTCTGACCCTTTACACTTGATGGGTGCTGTTCCCTTCGGCCACCTGGTAAACTCCTCATCAGCCTTCAGAACCCAATCGAGCAGGTCGTCCCGTGGGACACCTTCTTTAGACAGTCCGCCACCCCAGCAGAACTGACCTCCCCCAAAGCCAATGGCTGCGGCTCCTCCAGAACACATGCACACACACACACATACACACACACACACACACACACACGTGCATGCTTTTTCACACTACACAGCCAAATGCTTTGCCTGGTGGCCAGGCAGAAAGTGGCAGTCTGCTCCGAAGCTAGAGGACAACCTGGCTACACCAGGCACGCAGGGAGATGCTGCAGGAGACAAGCTGGCTCGCGCTGTGCTTCGTGGGGTGCCTGCCACGTCCCCGCTTATGCCTTACCCCTGACCCGCCAGGAGGATAAGGCCCCACTCTGCACACACAGGTTGGTCCTTCTCTCTGTGACCATGAGCATCAGGACAGAATGGGTGCTCCCCCTTCACCTTGCACCCTCAGCTCTCAACACGAGGCCTGACACACAGTAGGTACACAATACAATTTGCAAATTGAGTGGATGACCCTGGGCACCCTCCTTGGCCCTTTGGGTGTCAGTTTCCCCGTGGATAAAAGTAGAAAATGGGACAAGAAGATTGCAAAGGGTAAATCCAGCCCTGCGTAGGGAATCTGGCCGGTGGTCCTTCCATGCCCACTTTGGTAAGAACGGAAGGTGGGTGTCTCTCCTGGAGGACCTTTCTGGGTGCTCCTCTCTCTGGGCTTTGTGTTAGGAGCTCAGACCCAGCGTTTGTTGGGGGAATCTTGTGAGAATGTGGATGTGAAGGGGCTCCAAAGAGGTGTACAAATGGCCACACAGATACCTTCATCCATCTATTTACGATTTCTCCTACACCCGCTTCCCAAAATGATTTGGGGTGCCTTAAAGCACACCTAAGACCCACCAGTTACCATCAAAACGAAAAACAGGTAAAAACTCATTTTGGAGAAGAAAATAGCTATCCTGGGAGCCACAGATGATTTTGCACAAGTGGACATTTAGATCACCTCCAGCTTCCCAGAAACCCGTCTCCGCCTGCCACACCTCTGCCTGGTTACCAAGGTCTCTGGGAAGCAACAGCTCCCCACATACCATCATTTTCAGTCCCCCACCCGCGGCTGCAGGTATGGTCTCCAGGGTGTTTCCTTGGCTCTGACCCCCACCATCTCATGTAACCAGAGCACAGCCCTGATAGGCAAAGACCTGGTTCAAAGCCCAGCTCAGCTACTTCCTGCTGAGTTGCCTTGGACCATAAGGACCTTGACCTCTCTCTGCCTTGGTGTCCTCACCTGTAAAGCAGGCTTAATATGATTGGCTTAAACAATCGTTGTGGGGTTTGATGAGACTTACGTCTGATGGCTTGAGTTCTAATCCTGGCTCCTCCACCCCCTTGCTTCAGTGTAATCTTGGGTTGGTAACTGTGCCTGAGTTTCCCAGTCTCTAAAAGGGAATGACAACAGGACGAAGCTCACTGCAACCTCGTGAGTTGAGTTAATAATTTGCGTAAAGTGCAGCCGTAGTTGCTGAGTGGTGCCTGCATGCTCTTATTGCCTAGAAAAGCCCTCCTTTCCTCATCATAAAAAAAAAAAGCCCTCACCTTTCCCCAAATCTCACAAAACCCTCCTTGTGCACTCTTTCTCTTGATCCTCACTAACAACACCGGGAATGCAGGCAGGTATTATTATTGTTATTATTTTCTGTAGTCCTGATTTTACAGATGGGGTCAAAGTTCAGCAAGGTCAAGGGACTTGCCCAAGGGTCCCCTGCTATAACAACATCAACTTGGTTGGACCTCAACCCACCTCATCCCACCCCTCCACCACACTGCCTTTCTCATTTTACAGCTGAGGAAACCGAGGCTCAGAGAGGGAAAGAGACTAGTCCAAGGTCACACAGCAGCTCAATTGCGGCCAGTGCTCTCTTCTTCCCCAGCCTTCTCCTGGAACCTTGGTTACAATGGGGGGCGGGTCTCCCAGGCAGAGAGCAACAGGGCAGGGGGGCCTCAAGGAAGCCACAGAAGAAGGGAAGGAAGGAGCAGGCCCTCTTGGAGAGTCTGATCCTGTCACGGAGAGTTGCAGCCGCAGGAGCAGCTGTGCTAGCTGGCTGAGGCTGCTTCTCAGGCTGCAGGGTTTCTTTAGGGCTGGTGAGGGGTGCGGGCCTCCACATTTACATATAAATGAAGATGTTTACAAATTAATGCATCTCATCTAGAGACAGTCCCAGCTCCGCAGCTGTCTGGGCCGCTTCCTCTTCAGCTGGGGAAAGTGGGAAGAGAATGAGACTGAGAAGATTACCAAGAGTTGGCAGAGAGCAATTTTCTGGGCAGCCAGGGGAGCCTTAGGGAATCCCAGAGCTTTTCCTCCCACTGGTGGGGTTCCCGGAGGGATGGGAGTCAGGTGGGGTGACAGGGCTTCTGTCCCCAGGTTGCGGGGTGCAGGTGTAGGGCCCCAGTTCATGACCTCTTGGGCAGGTCACTGCCCCTCTGCACACCCCAAAGATTCCATCGATCAAATGCCTTTCTAGTTCTGAGCCTCAGAGCCCAGAGCTCCCAGTTTGGAATTGACAATAATGTATTCCTTCAAAGGATATTTAACTGAGCACCTACTAGGAGCCTGGTATGATGCAGGTGCCAGGGATCCAGTGGGGAGCAAGAAAGACGGGGCTTTACACTCCCGTGGGGGAGACAGAGAGGAAACGAGGGAAGCAAGACGTCAATAAATTTTTCATGACACATTCCACAAAGATGTGGGTCCGATGGTGATCATCTAACGAGGGGCGAGCAGCTTGCAGTGCCAGGAGGACTAAGGTGCTGGGGTGGCAGGCAGAGCCTCCCAGGAAGGTGGCCCTGGGCTGAGACCTGTGGGCTGGGAAGGAGCCATCCATGGCGGGGGCAAGGCAGGTGTGGCAGACGTCGGGGCCCAAGTGCCAGGGAGTTGATGTCTGGGAGCAGCCTCGGCCAATGACTGATGGGAGGCGTTAGATGAAACCCCAGTCCCCTCGTCCCCCCAGTGGGGCAACTCAGATGTGTCTTCTCCACTGTCCCCGAGTTCCCCAGCGGGACTGAATAACCTCCAGGATGTACCTGTGTTGACTTCCCTTCCACTCAATCCCCACTCCCTTTCCAGCTGCCTGGGATACCCTCCTAAATAAGCCAGCATCTCCCAATTGACTCCTTGTCTCAGGTTCTGTTTCTCAGGGGCCCCTAAGTGGGGACATAGGATATTAGTAACAGTCCCACCTGCGGGCATCCTGCACATCTGCCATCCTCTACCCCTGCCCTCTCAGGCCCTGCCTCGGGCCCCGTTCACCTGTTCCATCAGGCCGGGCACAAGTGGACCAGATGAGGGGTCCACTTCCCACTGAGGGGAGGATTGTGTGGGCAAAACTCATTAATCCCTGCAGAACGTGGCCATCCCCAAATGGCAGCTGTGACCTCCTTGGAGGTCAGGGTGAATCACAGCGAGCCTTCACCAGCCCCTGCTCCCCCCGCCACACCTTGTGCCTTCTGTTTCCCGAAGTCCCCTGCAGTCCAGGCCCCATCCCATCAGCCCAGGGTGTCCCTAGGAACACCAAGCAGGCTTCACTGGCCCTCATTTGGCGGTGAGGGAAATCTAGGCTCAAGGGTTCAAGAGTGCGCCCCTCCCACGCCTTGCCCACCTCTCTTTGCCGAGGCCCTACTCATCCTTTCAGGTTCAGCTTAAATGTTGCTTCTTCCGGGAAGCCCGCCCTGACTGCCCAGACTGGGCCAGGCACCCCAGTGCCCTTCCCCTCCCATACTCACTGCCCTGACACCGGGTATTCAAAGTGCCTCCTGCACTTGACCGGAAGCCCCACGAGGATGGGGATTGGGGGTGATGTCTTCACTGCCATCTCTCCAGCCGCCCAGCCCAACACCCCCTGCCCAGTGTGGACAATTTGTAGATAATTGTGGAGTGGATGAGTTAGTGGTAGAAGGCGTGGTGGATGTCTTTCACTGACGCTCTCACGGCTGCGGGATAAACTTTGGAAGAAGGAATTCAGGCCTCCTCACCTTCCCCCAACCTGGGCATCATTTATTTGTCACAAAGGAATGGAGCAATTGCTGTATGTCAGGGACAGTGCTGCTGATAAAATGGTGAACGAGGCATAATCAGACCTGCTCTGGTGAATCTTACGATGCAGGGGGTGAGGAGAGACAGACTATAAAAATGTGTTTGAAAGAATATGGAAAAATACCTTCAGTAGGTGATGAAGGAAATAAGGGAATGTGATGGAGATGACGAGAGTCGTG